ACTAAGTAACCATGGTCTGAAGATCGCAGTTGCCAGGGTTTGACTTACTTAACCCCCTGCGATATATTTAACACACAGACAGTCAGACACTCTCGGGCACGACTGGGCGCAGTCAACATCAGTCCCGGCTTCGCCAGTGGCCATTGCTGCCTGAGACAGTGATGCAGGGTTCTGTGCACAATAAATCCCTCGCACCGGTGACTTCTGCCTTTTGCCAATAACCTGGGATTCCATCTGATGATTGTACTGATGCGAGTTTAACCACTGCTTAGATGCTACATTATTCAAATCCGGTCTGGCCAATCACCCTCAGGGCTGACTCACACAGGACCTCACGGTGACGACTCCCTCGCTTACACACTTCAGACACCGGCTCCCTCGCAGGGGGTTGTGCACTAGTCCGACTGTCAGGTTCCTCTATTCTATTCTCCACTAGCTCCCTACAGAATACACGTTTTCTTCCACCTGGCGTCCCACTTCTCTTCCCAACACGGAACCGTGCCCACAGATCGCAACGGCAAGGGTTTTCCTATTAACTTAAGCCACTATGATAAATCTTTTCACAGAATCTGTAGGAGTCTGCCGCCCAGAGCAACTGCGCTGACCCATCCAGACTTCGTCTGCCACAATTTGCATTAATGTGTAACAAATTATATACTCCGCGCGCGCTATCGGCCCTTCTAACGCTATCAATTGACTCGCCGCTTGATAAGTGTGTAAGCTGGAAGGCAATCAATACTTCCGCTTCATTTAATTGGCTGCAAGCGGGAGAGTACATATCATTCAGTCAAGGCTTCATAACAGTACACATTTTACCCACTCAACTGGACTTGCGCTTTTTTATTTAATAGTATCCCCTATAACGCTGTTACGTGTTACGTTAATATTATTTTAGAGCAACACCCGCTAGGCGCTTCGGTATTTCGTCAGGAGGTCGAAAGTCGAGAAATCTTGCCAGTAAATGTCAGCAAATCCGCCTATTCACCGCCTATCCACCGATGACTTTGCGCTAGACAGACCCCATGAGCCACTTTGTTGTGCAGAGACGCGAAGGGGGAGGAAGCGAGAGCACATACATATGAGGCTGGTTTTGGAACGCAGCTTATATGACTACCGAGAGCCAGCTTCGTTTGAAGGCCAGCGGCACCACTAGATGGGCGCACGCCAGCACCCGAACTCGGAGATATCAAGGTGGTGGCGGCGTCTTTGGAGCAAACCGTGCGTGACGCATTAACACTAGAATAGCAACAACAATCCCGGTTCATTACCATCGGGCGCCTGACCCTCCACCGCGGACAGCGAACCAGTTTGAAATCAAGTTAGAACGCGCGCGCGCACAGCTCTGTGACTCACTAACCCAGATGCTACCAACACCTCCGTTTGCGGCGAATTCCCGAGGACGCGTTGAGTTAGCCGTGATGGGAATCACCCGGCAAGCGACCTTTGCGGAAAACATGCTGTAACCTGTGTCTCGTTACTAGGTTGCACACTGTCTAGAAGTTGGTCGATACTGTCACTGTTGGTTGTGGTGAGGAGCCGAGATAAATAAGCAGAGGTCCAACGTGTGCGAAAAATGGATGTGACCCACCCCCCTCCCCGGACCACGTACCGTTTGGTGTGCCAACATACTCAAGCAGCCGCAGCAGTGCCACAGAGATGGGCTATCAATCCCAAAGTGCTCAAGCTACTGCTGCTTGAGTTGTCTTGGGAAGGAATTTGTCAATTAGGCTGTGCTTACGAGGTAAGCCGGTGAACAACAATCACGGATCCAGCAGTCACGCGTAAGGGGCAAAAGAAAGGCATGTGGTCTGTGAAACATCTGTGAATGTTGATGCAACCGGGTAATTTATCATTCTAATGCAGGCCGCCTGTATCGCGCTTGGACAACCGCGATTGGCTAGCTGGGTTAATTTAACCGCGACGAAACCGCAGCACTTAAATGGTGTACTGTATATCGACCACTTTTGACTCTTTTTTCTCCAGAAGAGTTGCTTGTGCTGGGGCAGTTGCTGGCACGTGCACAGAGAGAGAATGAGAGAGAGAATACTTGCTTTATTTAAGATGAAAAATCATAAATTTTCAGCACAAGCACCAGTGCCTGCATACCGTAGTACAATCTGGCCAATCACCTTCAAGGCTGAATCACACCGGACCTCCTTGTGACGACTGTCGCGATCTCAAACTTCGGACACGACCCCCTCTCCGCGGGTGGTTGTGCACTCGTCCGACTGTCAACCTCCTCCAAATTATTATCTATTACCCCCGTACCGAATACACTAATTCCCCCATCTGGCGTCTCACCTCTTATTCTCTTCCAACACGGAACCGGACCTGAATCCCTCAGCAAAAAGTGTTTTACATATTGACTTAAGCCACTGCGATAGAGCCGGGCTCGGTGACTACAGTTGTAGCTGCGTGGAAAGGAGTCAGTGCTCGGCGACCGCAGTGGTATTTCTATGCAGATAAGTATGGCACTCCAATCCACTTTGACGGAAAATGAAGAAGATTTGATGACTTTTCTTTTCATCGAGAATTTCGACCACATGATCAGCGACCACTAGATTCGACCAGATGCCCCCAGTGTGATTACAAGAATGTGCTAGAAGACGATAAAGCGTCCTCCGGGACCTGTGGTTTATTTGTCCGGCGTTTCGAACACTCAGGTGAACCCATTGACAAGGCATGAAAAATATAAAGCTCACTGCATATTTAACTCGGCTCTGCTGGGAGTAACCTTAAACTCTGCCCTAGACCTGTTCACGCAACGCGAGATAGGCAT